TTGTCTGGATTCCTCACTCCATTGAACTCTATAGTACTTTTATTACCTTTTTCTACACCCGTATTATAATAATGCACTTATATGCCCATAATCCGTTTCATAATGATACCCATTATGATACAGATTTTTCATTACGATACAGATTTTTAATCAATAGAAACCTACAATTTTTCAATCAAGCATGCTGTTTGACGTTTGTCCTAGGTTCCTATGTAATTATTTTAGTTGTCAAAACGTATTAAATTTTCGTAGGTAGCTAAACTTCGATAATTATAATATTAAAATGTCTGATATTAGCGATATAGAAGACTCCTCCACACATATCGGAGAAAGCAGAAAATACAGTACAAAATATTTTACCGCAAAAATCTAGGGAAATACCAATACCTGAAGTAATACCATTAATTACAATTTTGTAGAATTTTTTATAGAAATACGAGTAATTACTGTTATTGTGTTCAATACCAATATAAATATAATATTTATAGGTCTTGATTATTTATCGGGTGTAGAAAAAATAGCGTATGCAACTCTCATGTAATGGTTATTACATGATCGTTGCATAATATACTATTTTATACTGTTGATCACCATTTTAAATCGATTTATGTTTTTTACTACCGGCCTTTCAATGACTTACACATAGTATTTGTGTTACCTCACATTGTTATACATCTTATAGCTCCGTTCGCGGTAAGAATCCTGAACTGAATTATAACAGTAACAATTTCGCTTGCGCAGCAAATAAAAATGCGTTCGCGGAACAAAAAACTGAATTATTAGTTCTATCCTGCGTTCGCGGTAATAGTAGTTTGTACAACAAGAATGGATATGATGGTCATATCGCACGAAGACGAAATTTGAGTGCTCTGAGTGCGATGTGGACAATCCACTCTTGTTGTACAGTATATTTTTTCTACGACCCACTAACGAAAATTTACAAATAAAAAAATATTTTAGATTATTAAGAATCGAACTCGTCTTGTAAGGCAAGAACGCTTACCACAAGACCACCTATTCTTTTAATTTTGACGCTTTAATACTAGTAATTAAATAGACTTCATATAGTTTTATTTAAATTAACAATTTTATAAAAGCTGCAGTGTTCTTATGGATTCATATTTTATAATTGTCATCGGTCCATTGCATTTATATAAAATATAACATTTAATTTTGGTATTCCTATTAGGGTTTTATTTTGTACTCCGATTATAGTTCTGAAGATGGCCCAAAAAGGCAAAAACTAGTCGCAATTACTTTTACGTTATTATATTGTGGTAGTTATGGTTTCATTTAATAAAATATAATAGTTGTTTAAATAACCATTTTTATTTTGTTATTTGAGCCAATGAATTACTTAACACGTTAACAAACTTTGGCGGTTCACAGAATCGATGAAGTAGGTATATACAAAATATGCTCGTCTGGCTCACCGACCGCTACAAAGTCAAATTTTATAGTATAAACATAGGGGTCTGTATAGAGCATGTTGCTGCTATGCATACATGTTTTGTTTAACTGTGTGGCTTGTAATAATTTCGATAGAGATACAGTTTAAAATTGATATACCATACAGTATTGAAAAAGTACTTAAACCTTAATCCGTATTCACAAAGTATTTTTAAATAGCAACTTACATGTAAATCGTTATTAATAGAAACGGCAGTTCAGACAAAAATTATAGTTAATTATACGATGGCGTGATTTTCCAATTTCACTTTAAATCGTTGCTTTAATTATATTAGGGTGGATTAGATTTTAAAAGGAGTTGGATATTATTTGTCCTTGTCCATTGCGACCTTTTCAGATCTATGGTGCGACTGCATTTTTTAAAGTATGTCGTCTAGCTTGCTCTTTTTTATTAAACTTAGTAGCTTTGACAGTGGGTCCCGCATGTAGATCATGCGTTTGGATTTTCTTCGCCTAGCGTTAGAAACCGCAATCTAGCCAGGCCTTCTTCATACTGGCACAGGACGTGGATTGATGTTTCTTCTTCTTTACAGAACCTGCACAAAGTTGCTTTTCTTGCTGGAATAATGATACTCATAGGCCTTCTTCTGGTGCAAAACCTACTGTTACATGAAAATTGGACCTAAGTTTGTTTTTTGATTTTTTATTTTACCCTGTATATTCTTGACACCTAATAAATCAATAACACCAGCAAACTTGGTCTATGTAAGGATTATTTTAGAGAATTGGGTGCCTACTCTATGTCAACCCGTATAGCACTTTAGTGTATGGTGTGTTAAATAAACAATAAATTATCATGTTACGATGTTCTTTAATATCCCTTTATTCTTAAATGTTCATTCAGCAAGGACTAGATTTCAAGATTTCTGCCTTTGATTATTATATGTAGCTGGAATGCAATTTTGTGACTTACTGATGGGAAACCATATTTAATCATTCATTCTATGTTTTCTTCTATAAATAACGATCCTTTTTTTATACATTTTAACTTCACGCTATTATTAAATGGTATTTTTTTATTTTGACAGAATAAGCTAATTCTTCAATGACAACTTATTAGACTTACGCAACTTCTCATAGATTTTCCAGTAAATACTGTTTCCTGCCTATATTTTATTATTGAATTTTATTGATTATATATAATTTTCTTTAATTTAAGCGATAAAAATATATGACAATAATAAATTAATGTTTTAATTATTTTACAAATCCATATACTTTTATTAAAACTAACATATATACTTTTTAGTTACGAATTCCAATAAAAATTGTATTTGTCGGTATACGCAGAAATAGTCCATTAGTACCAAAACGAATTGGCGCTGCTGACGCGCACGGAGCGAATAGCCTTGTATGGTAGGCGCTATGTAGTTGGCTTATTCGCTTTTGTCCCGTTACTTTAATTAGTCAAATTCTAATAATTGAGGTTATGTTTCTTTAAATAAATAACTAAATAAATATCATAATGCACTTGCGTGCATGGAAATCGGCCCACTGTAAACTTTTGAATTTTATAAATAATAAATGGTGTTTGAAAGACAATTTAATATGCTTTGATTTGAGTTTAAATTTATTTACAAACTTTTTGTCTAAATCAACACCTAATTTTAAATATTGAGTATGCCCCCATATTGTCCTAATAACATCTCATGTGATTTGGCATAAATGTAATCAAGTTCTATAGTTTATTGTGGGATGTTAAGCCATTCTTCTACTACAACAATTATATCTGGGATCAAAGTCTAGCACACATTTTTCGTTTCAGCTCATTCCATAAATTTTCTATCGAGTTCAGGATGAAACTGCATGCTAGTCACTTCATTACCCGAAAACCAACTTCTGTAATGTAATCTTGAACGATTCTTGCGGTGCGCGCCCTCGCATTGTCTAGGTAGTCTATGTAAGGTTCCACATGAACTGCTTAAATCTTTTCGATGTACCTAACACCCGTTAAACCTTCTCTCCCGTGACCAACGTCTTCTCAACGGGTGAAAACAGGATGGGTTCTTACTCCCCTCGAAATTGCACCCCAGATTATGCAGAAACCACCCTCATAAACAATCCGCTCTTTAATGCAGCATTCTGAAAATCACTCTCTTGGTTTTCGATACACTTTTCTTCTTCGGTCGCTACCATAGAAGCATATGCTGGTCTCAGCCCAGAAAAGAACAGACTTCTTTTGTTCAAAGTCCAATCCAGATCCCGAGTAAAACGCAGACGTGCTTGACGATGAGCTGGGGTAATTTTCGGACCAATTACAGGTCCATTGATTAATAGCCATTCCTCGTATTTTACGGAGCTGTTGTTGCACTTTAAACAGAGATAACAGGAGATGTAACTACTTAGAAATATCGTGCGGTTCTGAATAAGACATATTCTAAGGTGCACAGAAGGGTATAATATCCGCTGTTGTCATATTCCTATTTCATTATTCTCGTTTTGTTTACAAAATTATTTACATATATTAAAAAAGCTAAAATAATTCAAACTATTTTATTGCAACTGAACTCAAAAAATTTTAAATCGTTAGTTATATTATATTTAACTAAATTAGATATAATTTCACTAAATTTAATGTAATAAATTTTTAAGTTCCAAAACGTAGGAATGGTAAGTTGGAACTGGCAAGAGGGCTTACAACGTTGCGTTGTTTATTATAAGCGCACATCGCTTACACATTTATTCATAAAATCCTTTTCTTTATCCCCTCTCTTATTATTGATTGTCGACTTAATCTTGGCATCGTGAATATTATATTTTATCAATGAACGGTTATATCTTCGTTATCTCTGACTTTAACCGAATTTAGGCGACGATTTCACAATGATATCGACACAACAGAGGGGGTCATCTGGTTCTGTTATATATCGTTTTCTGTTATTTTTTTTATAACCGACATATAAATACGTTTCATTTGTTTACCGGTTGCTACGTATATAAACGGTAAAGACTTGATAAACTTGAACTCCTATCAAAACATATTAAATTGTCTTTCAAATAGTATTTTTTTATCAGTTGAATAATTTCCAGATAAAAATATCGTTTATAGTGAGCCGATTTATATGGTGCATTTTTCTGAAAAACATTTAACAAATCGATAGTAAAACATGTAAAGAATATAATTTTACCTACGTTAAAATAAATAACAATTCATGAAATAACGCCCAAAGCACATTATTTAATATAATGACGCTTCTTTAATTAAGGTTCTACATGTATGTGAATTTAAAGATTATTTCTAAATAAAGCTATAATATATTGTAGCTATACCTATCCGGGAAACTCTTATAATATTTATGTTTGAGATTAAAGATATGAATGTTAAATTTACATTTGTATTTTTCCTATCGAATAAAATGTACAAGACATAATTCACGTTGTAAAACAATTATTACTCACGTATTCTTGAATTTACAAACTCGGCTATGTTATTCAAGCTCTTTACTACTATTGTGATGTAATATACTATTCTGCCATCAGCTAGCATTGGTGGTTTAAGAATTATCTAAAATATTTTTTTTTTCTTTCAGGATTTGTAAATTATTCAACAAAAGCAGTTGTAATATCGGAAAACAAAGAACATTTAGCTGTTACAGAAAAAACTAATGACCAAGAAAATACAGATAAAATTCTCACTTTATCAGAATTTTTCAATAATGACAATTTTGCGAAATTGGAAAAAATAACTGTTTTAGAATTAACACACTGCCAAATAACAGATTTACCGATAGCATTCGAAAATTTAAATTTAAAACGTTTAAATATCTCACGCAACAATCTTTCAAATGTTCCTGCATGTATTTACAGTGGATTAAATTATTTAGAATACTTGGATCTAGGTCACAACTCAATTCAAGTTTTTGATATGCCACCAGGTTGTCTTCTTCATATTAAAACTATAAAATTAAATAATAATTTACTTTATATGATTCCTAAATGGATAGTTACATTCCAAAGCATCAACCTAGAAGAACTAAATTTCAGTTTTAACAAAGCCTCTCAGTACACATACCACAGAAATAGCTATAATATGCATTTTATGAAGTTAAATAAATTGAAATTAAAAAATAGTCAATTGATAGATGATGATTTCGATTTTTTGAAGTGTTTGAAGAATTTGGAATACCTGGATATTAGTAATAAAGGTGATATATTCATCAATAAATTTCACGAGGTAGATAATTTGTTTGTAAAACCAAAATGGAAGCAACTTAAAATACTTAAAATGAATAATCTAGGACTGTCTTTATTTCCTGAAGGTGTACCATGGCTAGAGAGTTTAAGTGAGCTTCATATAAACGAAAATTGTATATCCTGGTTTCCTGACGGAATTGAATTTATGGTGAATCTTCGAGTATTAAATATTTCTCAAAACTCACTTGTAGCCATTCCAGATGCAATAATCAAATTGGAGCTATTAGAAGTTTTATTAGCTAGTGCTAATAACATCGAAATTTGTCCTGACTTTAGTAAAATGGTCAATTTAAAGACACTGGATCTCTATGATAATCTACTAGAACATGTTCAATTAAACTGTGATACTTTAGATAGTTTTGATTTAGACCAAAATTATATTAGTAAATTAGACTTTCCAAATTATGATGCAAAGAAAAAGAAATTGAGAGATACATTTACTAAAACCGAAATAAGAATAGATAATCAAAAACTAAGGTATGAAGATGACATAACAGATTCTTTTAAAACATGCAGTGATGATGATTATGGAAAAGACGATGTTTATGGAAAAGATGAAGACACATCATCTTTTCATACAGTATTAGTGAATAAAACAATTTTTGATGAAGCAGAAGATTGGGATTCGCCTGATCCAATTGGTCAAAGACATCCCGATATTGACAGCGAAGACGATTCTTGGGATGGCGAGGAAAAGAGAATTGTAAATAAGAAGGTGAAAGTCAGAAAAAAGGTTTATGTAGAAGATGAAGACTGGATGTTTCAAGATGTGGAAGACATTCAGAGTTGATGTTTTAAATTCGATGTAAATTTTAAAAAGAAAATTTGTTTCTTAAATTTAGAATATTATATTCATAGATTTTTAATCGAAGCAATTTTTAATTTATTATATGTATGTGCATATCCTGAAAATGGTTAATATTTAATTACAGTGAGGTGTGTATTATTTTTAATTAATTGTTTCGTTGAATAAATTCGTTAAATAATTACGATTTTTATTTTAATTATTAGATATTCGCTAGTAAAACCTTCAGTTATAAGAATAAAGTAAAATTAAGCAGATAAATGATCTGACAAATAGATGACTAAAATACATTCTTATTGAAAAATTTATATAATTTTCCTATGTCTTATGTTACAGGTATCTGCTTACTATACGGTATTGAATTTTCTAAGAATTTGTGTTAATTGGAATCTGTTGTAGGTCAGAGTGGCCACCGAAGCTAACTTGATTTAATGACCTGTCGGTGTCGTATCGGCTAATGTGTCAGATTTCTTAGGTATATGTATTATTTGAGTTTATTTCTCAGCAATTACTGCATATTTAAATAAATAAATTCAATATTCGTGGTAGTGAATTATTTGCCCAGCAGTGGAAAGTTCCTGATGCAGCAGACATCATCTTCAAGAGCATTTAGAATGTCATCAATATATCTAAGTTTTATTAGATCGACAATCGAAGGTGAAGCTTTAAATAAACACAACAAAGCAGGAAGAATGTTATAAACCCATTAAAGCCCACGACAAAAAAAACGAATTTTTTAATAATATTCTGTATTTGTGTTTAATGTAACTCCAAATATTAATAAAAAATAATAGTTTTTAAAAAAAGTGGTGATCTTTGAATAGATCACTGAGCAAATTCATTATATATTTAAAACACATTTAATTTCCAAACAGCAATCTTATTTATAAAACTAAAAGTTTATTGTTAATACATAAACCGACTTCTAAACGTAACTAATAGTGAAAACACTTATTTGTGATGGTAAGGAAGGAAACAATTTGCACATAGAGTAACATCACATTTCAAACAGAAACTTTTGGATCTGCTCTTGCAGTCTGTTTGACATCTTTTTTGCTCATCACGATATTGCATAAAATGATTCAGACCATCAAAACGCACATCTACAGAAGCTACTATAGCTTTGGTTTTTATTTTAACACGATGATAGCTTCATATAAGGAACTGCAACTGCTCTACGGAATTCTAGAGAGTTTATTGCTTCGCGACCATGTAACTAACTCTGCATGATGTTAGTCTTTTCCTATTTCAGGCAATTTACTTTGCATCTAATTTACTTCTACTGTGCTTTAACTTCACCTTTAACTTCCCCCTTTGATAAGTTCATCTACTGTTTATCTACTTCCTACTATCGGCCTGGATAACTTAGCCTGGATTCCCATGCTTGCGGTGGATGCAGTACATCTGTGGTAGGCCCTACCAGAAGTACCCACTGGCCCATCGGTCACTGAGAAGCCCCACTCTGGACAACCATCATCAGTATATCAAGTAAGGTTAAACCATATTTTACTTTTGAGACCATCTACCTGCACCCAGTTGCTTCGTCAGCTTGCTACCAGTACTGCATGAAGCTTGTGTCCTAGGTTGAGCCTTAGGTGTATAAACATTAACCGTTATTCTAGCAGAGCTTATCTCGTGCCACCACCTGCTTAATAATAAAGCGAAATCATTATAACACAAATACTTGTAAACCAAAAGTATACTCTTGGCCCCCGTATAACTATTACTTTTGTGAACACTTTTTTTTAAGCATATTATTCAATTAACTATACCACGTCAAATATATAATCACCAGCGACTTGGGTAGTATTAAACCACCACATTTTATGCAATAGTTTTATTTCTTGTAACAGTACCCAGCCACTCTCAGCTGAAAACCGGGCATAAAATAGTCAAAATTAACCCCCTCGTGTAACAGCATTCTGCCACCTTGAGTCGAGGCGCAGGTTACAGTATCTATATAAAATCCAGGCATTTGTAAGTGCCATATTCATAATGCGAATGAACATTGGCCAGTACCATTCTTTTCCACGTATCTGGATACCATATTTATCAATAAGACAGTTATGATAGTCAACACCACCCATATGTTTATTATAGTTTTGAATTAATTTTGGTTGCGGCACTTCAACCCTTTGCTTAGTTTCTCGTTTCCAGCGGCTTGCCTTAGCTAAAGGTTTTATGTAGTCATAATTAGTTGCCACTATCACGCACTTGTTGTCATGCCAACGTACCATAAGCAATCAGACGTGGTGTCATACCTATAATTAAAGAAACCACGAAATAGTTTACTCAGTTCTTTTGCCGACTTTATTGGGCCTTTATATGTTCTATTATCACGTAATGTTCCTATAGCACGAAATCCAATATCTTTTAAGTGAACCAACAGGTCTCGATTCGTAAAGTTATCAAAAAAGATTATGTACTCACTTGAAGTTGACACACAAGACAACAGTTCTGTTGCCACTCTTGACCCTAAAGTTAGAACTGTTTTTGATTTTTGCCTTCTTTACCGGTATAAAATATAAACTTAAAGCAATACCAATTGGAACCACAAAGCACCAAAATTCCAAATTGTTGGACTTTCTCATTTATTTTTATAATAAGGGGTCAAAGTTTATAAGCTCTGTCTTCTTTATCAATTTTATCATTATACTCAAGGTACTATTTACCGAGATCGCACTTGAGTCCCGTTCAAACGCAGACCATATTCATTTGCTATCAATACATATTTTATTTAGGTTGACGATCAACGGAGTTAATGAACAGCGTCAATTCGCCAGTTGGTTAACTACTGTGTTGATGTTTATATTCTTATTTAAGTTGATGACCAACGTAGTTTACGAACAGCGCCAATTCGCCAGTTGGGTAACTACTGTGTTGCTTTGATTCTATTCTAGATATACACAGGTTGCACCCTTTTATGTAGGTAAATATTTCGACGAGTATAGAGATGACCAACGGAGTAACGAACAGCGCCAATTCGCTATGGTTACCTTACTATGTTGATTTCACATATACTTTGTTTAAAAAACCTTGTAGGATGGGTGGCTTAACATATAAGTGTCCTCCCTTGAGCTAACGGACAGTTTATTCACCAGTTGGTTAACTTACTGTTAAATTTTACCTATCTTGGTTTGTACAATTTATCCAAGATAGCACATCCCTGTATATTTTTAAAATAATGTTTTTTATATTTTCTATTGAAATGACTTAATAGAACCCTGTACCCAGACAGCACACCAAATCCTTTGGATATCTACTTGACATCCCAATATCCACTGAATGTCCAGTCCATGGTGGATATCTATTCTATATCCATGAAATGTAATTTATAGACATGCAAATGTCCATAAATAATAGTAATTATATAGCAAATTTTATTAAAAAATTACGCCATTGTGCTCGCCATTGTGGCTGATAGTACCGTTCAGATATTTATAATTAATTTTTTTAAGGTGTATTCAATATCCCATGGACATCCACTAAATATATCAAAGTCTAGGCGCGAACGCAAACCATCGTGCATATCCACTAGATGTAATTTTTGATTTTGCTTACTAAGTATAGATGGGGATACCACTTTCGCTCGTGCTCATGCTCAACCCGCCGTAATTGAGTTCGATCGAAATTTTTATCCCAATCAGACTCCATTAGAGACTGGAGTCGAGAATTTCCATTTATTGCTGAAGAGTCCTAATAAGGATGACTTTCTCCTTAGTGGGCAAAATCAAAGGCAGAGTGTTGAAAATATTTTGAGTGTTGTAAATATTTTTATCTCTGCTATTTTCTTTCGACGTTATTCAATAATCATTGGTTACTTATGAACCTCTACTAACATACAATATTTTGCTGAATATCTTCTATATCCTGGGATATAGACGGACATTTGGATATCCATATTAGATCCACTGGATATATTGGATATCCACAAAATATATTATATGGATATCTCTGGGATTTCTTGTATGGTCTGGAGATACCCATTAGATATTTTGCTGGATATATCCATAGGATTTCTTCTATATTCTGGATATAGACGGACATTTGGATATCCATATTAGATCCACGGGATAATTCTGATATCCTGTGGATATATTGGATATCCACAAAAGATATTCTGTGGATATCTCTGAGATTTGGTGTGTTGTCTGGGTATATTTTTTAAGATTGATTATAATTTCTATTGAAATTATTAAATACAACCCTGTATATTTCTTAATATTGAAATACTCAAAATTCACCCATCGAAAACCGATGTTTATTCTAACTGCCTTTCAGGGTGTATGACCTGAAGGCCATGTGGTTTATTGGTTACATTGATAATATTTTGCAGAAAATGTCAAGCCCTCGTTTAAACGAAATCCCGGTGATATCTCAAAGAAAGTTACATAAATCTTTTGATTCATCATTAAAAATACAGATTATGTACTAATTTCATCTAGCGTTGTGGCGGCGTCGATTTAGGAACGTCGCAGCGTTGAGCGTCGCCTTGCGTCGAGGCGTCTATCGTGGAGAGGAAGGTATTTAATACGGTACTGCATAGGGACAGATATACGGTAGAAATATTTAGGTGGTGCGGGACGTGACGAAAGGTGTCGACAGGGATATATTTAGGAGCAGCAAGCGTCGAGAAGTAGAGCGATAGGACGTTGGGCGTCGGAATGAATGTAAGGTAGGAAATACTTAGATGGTGCGGAATGTGACAGCGTTCGAGACGTAGGAAAGTGGGGCGTCTGGACGTTGAGCGTCGAGACGTTGAGTGTCGGGATGAATACAATAATGGTAGGAAATATTAAAGTTGTGTTAGAAGTGAAAGCGTAGAAAGTGAGACGTTGGGCGTCGAGACGTTGACACCTTCGGAGATAGGCGGTATTGTAGCATAGACGTCGTTTAGGAAAAGCGTTTTAGAAAAGGTACATACTATATAACTGGATACAAATAATAAAGTGATTGCTTAAATGTAAAATAATAAAATGAATGCTTGCACATGAAATAATAAAAAATGAATCAATGCTTGTACATCAAATAATAAAAAATGACTGAATCTGAGCTCATTTGGGTCTGACTTCTTATACTAAGTTTAATGGATTTTGTGACGTCTCTGTGTGTCTTAGTTCCCAGCGAAAA